ATGTAATGCTGGAGCTGAAAACTGAAAAGAAGAAATCTTTCATTTATCTATTTAAAAAATACATATGCTGGGCCTGGGGATTTAGCTCAGTGCCACAGCGCCTGCCTGACAAGCATGAGGTCCTGAGTTCAATTCCTGCTACCCCCCCAAAAAAAAATACATATGCAAGCCCAGCATGGCAGCACATGCTATATTCCCAGCACTTGGAAGGCTGAGGCAGGAGGATAACCATGAGTTTAAGGCCAGCCTGGGATATATAGTAAGTTAAAGGCCAGACTAAACTGTATAATGAGACCCCCCAAAATAAAATAAAATAAAATACATGTGGAAGTTGGGCACGGTGGAGCACACCTGTAATCCCAGCACCCATGAGGCTGAAGTAGGAGGACCCACCTTGAGTTTGATACCAGCCTGGGTTACACAGAGTTCAAGGCCAGCCTGAACTTCACAGTGGGACTCTATCTCAAGAAAAATATTAAGTACCTTCTATGTGCCAGTCACTGTTCTAAGATTTGAAAATATAGCCACAAACAAAACAAAACAAAAATTCCTGCTCTGGTGATGCTTACTTTCTCGGTAAAAAAAAAAAAAAAATTCCAACCTGGAATATTTATATGTTTTCTGTTTGTTTTCCTGAGCTTTCTGTGACAAGATCTCACTAAGTGACAGTCTGGCCTTGAACTCAAAATCCTCCTTCCTCAGCTTCATGAATGCTAAAAATATATTGGTTCTGGATTTGTTTTGTTCATCCATACATAAAGAGAATTGTACCCAGTACTCAGTTTCAACAATTAACCCATGAAAGCCATCACAGCACTTGGGAGGCAGAGGCAGGAAGATCAACAAGAGTTTAAGGGCAGCTTGGGCTACATAGTGAGGAGGTCAAAGCCACCCTGAACTACATACCAAGACCTTGTGTCTCAGTTACTTTTCTCTCCTTGCTGAGACAAAATACCTGGCACCCAGAATTGAGGAAAGAAAGATTTGTTTAGCTTACAGTTTGTGGAGGTTTCAGCCTATAATCAGCTGGCTCCAAGGCAGGGTGGGCTGGCACAGGGTAACACTTCAAGGCAGCACAAGACAGCAAAAGCAGCAAGAGCAAAAGGGGGTGGGGGGAGCATCTTTTCCCTCCTTATTGTAGGCTGGCTGTCCGCCCTCGCCCACACCATCTCCCTGCCCTCCTCTTGCACAGGCCTAGCTGTACAACTGCTGAGTCACTTAGCCAAGCCTCTAGACTCAAGTTGACACAATGTATCAACCCTAACACCTTGTCTCAAAGAGAAACAAAAATTAATTAAACCATGACCAATTTTGTTTCCTCTACATCCACACTCATTTCCCAGCCCCTTGTGTTATCTTGAAGTAAACTGCAGATATCATATTCCAAAGTGGTTTCCTCCTGTCAGCTTTGTGAAGTACAACTGACATGCGGCAAAAGTCCCTCTTCCCAGTACATGGTTTCATGTTGCAGTGGCACGCAGAGGCACTGAAACAACACCCAGGATTCGGAGGCAGATTTACTTCTGCTGATGAGCACTGATCGGGATCATTCCCAGAATCTCAGGCCCTGATCTCTCCTGGTCTAGGGCTTACATGGGACAAGCAAGCAGGAAGCACAGAGGCAGAATGGCTCGTCAATTGGGGATTGGTTCTTACAGTGTGCGTCACAGTGACCAGTCTTTTCTAAGAAACAAAAGTAACAGGAACTGTAACCGGAACTATTTCCCAGGCAACTCACAGACTAAAGTATACTGGCTGGGATGGGGCATCTTCTGCTACATTGTGTGTTCACAAATAGTTATATAATCACTCACCCAAAACAGACAATTCCTACTGTTACGTCTGACCTTTCACTAATCTGTTCTTCTAGAATGCCTAATCTGCCATTAATCCTATGCAAACTACAAGTTTTACTTTGGCATTTTCTATACCTTCCATATCCCTACTCAACCTTGCCAGTATATGAATTATGACTGCAATAACTGTTTTAAGTTTCCTTGTCTGAAAATTGTAGTGCCACTGTAATTACTTTGATTATTTTATTCTTTGTTTTTCTCATGAGATTTTCTTGCTTGTACACATGCCTGCTTATCGTGGGTTGAATGTTAGATTAAATTGTGAATTTTAATTTCTCAGGGCTTCCTTCTCTCCTTTTTCTTCTTTCTGCTCCTCCTCCCTCTGATTCCTCCTGCTTCTTCTATTTCAGAAATCTTAAAGCTATTCCTGTCTGTGTGTGTTTTCCCAGGATTTGAATCCAGGACCTTCAACTAAGTTCTTTTTTTTTTTAATTTCTATTCTGAGCCCCAGCCCTTTTTTTGCTTTCTATTCTGAGACAGGGCCTCACTAAATTATCAAGATCGGGCTCAAACTTGAGATCTTCCTGTCTCAGCTTCCTGAGTGCTGGGATTACAAGTGTGCCCCATTTACAGACACTTTGGTATGAGCACTGTTCCTGAGGCTGTATGACACCAGGCACCTGAGCTCTACTCAGTTCCACAGCTTCCCTCTGGCCTCCCCACTGAGCAGTTAGCAAGGCGCACTGCTGGAGGGGACTCACATGGACCTCTGGACTCTAGTACCTCTGTGTCCCTGATAGAAGCCCAGCCATCTAGCTGGACATGGTGGTGCACACGTGTAACCCCAGTACTCAGGCGGCTGAGGCAGGAGGATCACTATGAGTTTGAGGCCAGCCTGGGCTACAAAGTGAGCTCAAGGCCAGCCTGAACTGTACAGTGAGACCCTGTCTCA